AAATTAAATAAAATCATAATTTGGTTTAATGAGTGACAAAGGCCTGCCTTTGACAGCGTGAAATGATTGGGATTCTCTGTTTTTATTTAATTGGTGTTTTTCAAAGAAAGATTTTCCATAACCTTCATCATTTTGAATTATGAAAAAATTTGAAATATTGAATTTCATCAAGACTTAATTGAAATTATGATATATAATACACCCAAATATAACTCAATAATTTTCGCATATTTTTCTTATTAAAATAGTGAAAATAAAACACGAACAAAACGACCTTAATGATTAAAGGATTTATTGTTATCTCTTGAAGTTTTGAATTTAAGCATAGTGTATGCAAAAACATAAGCCTTTATAAATGATTATATTTGAAAAAAAAAATACTATATTATATTCATCCTAAATTTATATAAAAAACAATGAAACTAAAGAATCATAAAAGTAATCAAACAATTTAAAAATGTAAATGAAGAATAACCCAATAATAGGCTGGGGCCATCTCATTTGATGGATTTGCAATATACATGTATCACATCAAGGAAATTTTAACAGTATTATTGTAAAATATTTGGGGTAATTTTATTTATATAATATCATTATTTTAATTATTTAAAGAAATGATATTTAAAATAAATAAATTATAAAAATATTATTTTTTAATATAGGATGTCATATAAGATAAAGATGTGTCTTATAAATCTTATTTTTGAAAAGTATCGCACTTTAAAGTAGGGGTTAAAATTTTAGAATTATTTAGTTTGAGGTAAGATCGAAAGTTTTATAAGTTTGGTGTCTAGTCGCTGGCAGATTTCAAAGTGATTTGTCCCTATGAAGATGTACATCAAGGAAGAATTAAAGTAAGGTGGTTTCATTTATGTTGCATCTCATTTTTCCTTTATGCTTGAGGGGTTATATAAAGATATGTTAGTGCACATGTATGTAGGGATATGATAGTTAGTCGTAGGTTGATAGGCTAAGTAGATATGATTAGATGTTAGTAGATTTAATTTTAGTAGATCATGTGGGCATGTTATAAGTCATATTAGCTAGTTAATTCTTTTCAAGTGATGTTAAGTATTCAAGATCTTTCTTTCAAATATATTATTTTTATATTCATAGTTCCTTGGTATTAGAGAATTTTAGATATTTTAAGTAGGATCATTCGACGATTACGAGACACAATAATGATGTATATCGAGGATCTTGAATGGAGTACAACAACAATTAATTCTAATTACTTTTTAATATAAAATAAATATTTATATTTAAAAAATAAATAAAATAATTTTAAATTATTATATGTGAATTATTAATTATTCTTTAAAAAATATTTATGAATTTTTTTAAAAATATTTATCAAATAATATTTAAAATTTGTAAAATAAATTATTTTAGCAATATAAAATGTTAATATTTAAACTGAAAATAGAAATTATCCCAAAACTCATAAACTATTGAAAATTTTAATGGTAAAATACATAAATGGTCACAAATCTTTGAGTACATTTTTATTTTCTACATTGAAGTTTCAAAACTTACAATTTGGTCATTAACATTATCGATTTATAACAAATTGGTCACTTGACGTTAACAACCGTTAGCGTGGAGGACGGAAAGCTTATGTGGCATGTTAACTACTTACTTGGCAATGTCAACTGACATGCTAGAGAGCTCATTGGACTTATTCTTTAACTTCAATTTCAACTTACCATGAGAAAGAAGGCATGCAACGTCAACTACCATGTTGTGCTCTTAATCCTAGTCGTGCAAGGGAACCTTCACAAACCTCTCTTTCGTATAGATACCCGTTTTGTCCGGGTTTAAATTACGTTATTATTATTATTTTTCATTTTTCTTACAGGCTTTACAACAACCCAATTGAGCCTAGTTACAACTAAAGACTCGGGCCAAATTCAACAAGCCTATACCTGAAGCCCAACAAACAATCCGGTCCAAACCTGGATTCTGCCAACACTGCCAGTCACCTTACCATGCCCATGCCTCCACACCCCGAGTAGACTGCCATACCCCGGGCTTACCCTGCCACCAACTACAACAACAGTTATCCACCAATAGCAAGCAAGTTTGATTGATAAGTTTGTAATGGGTATATAACCCAATCAAAAAAAATATAAACAACAACAATTTGATCAACAATCAAAACAAAAAAAAAATAGTTTAAGGCAAAAATCATTCTGGTTCTTTCCTTTTCGTAATATATATATATTTATATATATTTGCAATAATAAAAAAAGGAAAAGGGGAAATGTTACCTTCGGCTGGATCTTCGTTGGTGATCGAGACCTCTTTTCCAAATCCGAACGGTGAGAAGCTGCGCAAGGATGAGGATAACAACATATTGTAAAATTGACTCGATCGGACGACGGACGACGGCAGATCGAAGATATGAAGGCCGAACGATTTCGGCTAGATTCGTGGAGTTTGGGGCTGATTCTCGCGAAATTGACCCTAGATCGGAGACGGAGAGGCCCAGACGGACATCACAGTGTAATTTGGTGGCCATCGGCCACCGACGGCGGCAACGGTCAGCGGCAGACGACGATGGTAACCCACCAGTTTTTTTAGAGAGAGGGTCCTCTCTCTCTAAAAATAATTTAAAAAAAATGAAAAATGAAATGAAAATTATAAAAAAGAAAATGTTGATATTTATGGGAAACTTAAGGGGAAATTGCACTTAAGTCCCCCTAAGTTTAGCGTATTTTTGCAAAACGGTCACCTGAAGGGATTATTTTTGTAATTTACCTGTTTCTTATGCATGTTATATATTTTTGGTTTATTTTCTTCCAGGTCCCTCTACTTCATGCCACATTTTACATTTTAGTCCCTAAATCTCTATGTTTTATTTATTTATTTTTAGTACTTTAGTTTTATTACTTTCATTTTAGTCACTAATATGTTATATTTCCTGTTTTATTTAATTTTGATTTTGGCACTTTTCTTTCTGTTATTTTATTTTAGTCACTGAACTTGCTGATGGTATATTTATGTTTCTTGCCTGTAATTTTTAATATTTATGTTTCAGTCTTATTTATTTACCCATTTACTTGTGTGGTATTTTAATCTAGATGGTGGGTTTGAAAGTTTGCATGTTGGTCCTTATTTATTTGCACATTGGTATTATTACTTCCACCTTGTTTTCTATAAATCATCATGGTTTTTAATATGTAAATGGGAAAATTTCATTGTGAGGGAAATCTACGAATGCATCTCCCAACTACAAGGGAATAAGTCTTTTCGAGGATTTTTCGCATAAATATTTGTTTTGTATTCGATAATTTTCTTTATTCCACGTTTATTTATTTTGATTATTTTCACCTCTTTTCACTTTTATTTTGTTTTATTTTATTTTATCTTTGTGAAAAAATGCGAAATAACATCTTTTGTGAGGGGAATCTATGAAAAAATCTCCTAATTATAAAGGAAGTGCATTTTCAAGGATTGTTCGAACCAAATAACGTATTTTCTCTTATAAAAATAATTATTATATTTTTTATTCTATAAAAATATTTTTTGGGCTATTTAATCTTTTTGACCCATTGCATTCTTTATTTTAAGTTGTTTTTTTTTTTGAAATTGACACTTATTTAAATAAATTTGAATAAATATAAGGATCATAATTTAAATATATTTTTGAAGTTTGTAACTCCCAATATTTAAACAACATATAATCATTTAGGTACCAAAATTTGGGTGTTAGGGGGTGCTCATCATTCCCCACACGTAATAGACTCTCGAACTCTTAAAAATGAATCTTTAGTAAAGCGCAGACCATTTTTTGTCTTTTAAGATTTCCAACCTACCTAATTTAAAGGTTTGTGGCGACTCAAAAGTTATTTTATTTTCAAAAATTAAATTTCATCGCCTTCCCAAATACAAATTTTTCAAGTATAACGGATCTCCGTGTGACGTTATGACAATCCGGAGATCCGTTATGACAATAAGGATTGTCACCATTATTGAATTGATCATTTAGATCACCCATGGCAGATAAAAAACAATGAGAAGAACGATGAAATAGAACTCAGAATTTAGGAAGCTAATCTTGATAAAATAACATCTGATACACAGAGAAGAATTCAATGTTTACAGAATGGAATCGATCTTCCTTAAATAACAACACAAAAGTTATGAAGGATGGTAACTAAAATAACTAACTTCTGTTAAGAAGCTAAAAACCTAAATTATTATATCTAACATTTAACTCAATTACCTTTTGTAACGCTTTGTTTTTTTTTCCGGGGGGAGGGGCAAGGCGGGTGTTGATGGTTCACACTTGTACAACACCAACAACAACGTTGGGAGACAAGCCTGGGAATTCAACCTTGATGCTAGTACCCCAGAAGATCGAGCTCGAGGTTGAAAAGGCTCCACAAAATTTCTACAAGAACCGTTTCCAGGTCAAGCCTAGTGCCAATCTCATTTGGCGCATGTATGTATCTTTTGTCTCCATTTTCAAATATACAAATGTTTTGCTTTTGTACGCCCGATACCCATTTTCAATCCTCGTATGAAACAACTAACTCCCATTTGTTTCCGTTTTTAAGATAAAGCTTCTAGAAAGATAAAATCTACAAATGTCACAACGCGGGAGAAAGACGATGTTTCGGTTGTCGTGAAAGAAAGTTGATAGAGTTGCATATGGGTTTATGATTAGAGGAGATAAAGAAAAAAAGAGGGAAATTTAAGGATTTGAGAAAAATGGACTTGGAGAAATAAATAATTAATGGTGAGTTGAAAGAAGGAGAAAGAGATGATGGCCAATCAAAATGATCTCATGTGGTCAAATGAGGTAAAAAATATATTAACGTGCCACATCAGTAATATATTACTCCAGTAACTGGACCAATTTGTTATGAATCGTAATGTTAGTGACTAAAACGTTAGTTTTGAAACTTCAGTTGGAAAAAAACTTACTAAATCATTAGTGATTATTTATGTAGTTTGCCCAAAATTTAAAGATTCGAGCGGAATACAGCCCAAAATTTATGTAGTTCCTATTTTTCTCTTTAGAGCGTTAAGATAGGAGCAATTTAGAGGGGGGTTTCAGTTTGTTTCTTGATTTGGGCTTTGGGTTACTTCTCCTTTCTCCTTTTCTGTAAGTTAGTTTCTCCGATGCTTTTCATTTCCCAGTCTTTAGCTGTTGGATTTTCCCAATCTGTGTAGCAAGCTTTTAATTTTCTTTGACCTTTTGTTTAGCTCATTTTCCACTATTTTTATAGCTATGGCTACTTTGTTTTGATGCACTTTAACTTATTAGATTTCGTCTATTATGTTAACATATTTGCACTAGATTAGTCCGTACAATGAAGAGATTATGTATCTGAAAGTTGAAATAATGAATGTTTTGACCCTTGCAGGGTTCTTTGATTGGATTGTTTCGTACGAAGAAAAAAGTGAACCGTGACAATTTTTGCAGTGAAAGGAGCAGCATGCGGTGGTGGTTGAGTCAGTCAGTCCATGTTTTTGGAAAAGTTCTCTCCTTGAACTTGTATTGTAGAGTGATTCTGTAATTTTCATAATCAGCAAAAAAAATTTCTTTTTTCATCCACGCTTTGATCTTACTATTCTATATCGTCCATGGGATCCACTTTCTTCATCGTTGTTCCATGTTATGTCCGTCAGATTAGCTGAGTAGTGAATATCTTCAAAACCCATAGAGCAAAAGTTATAATCCAAGAGTAATCGTGTAGATCTTGGTAGGCAGAGTATGTTTAGTAGTAGTTGTTAAGTTCCTTGGAGATCTTCTTTATTGTGCCATATTGAAGGGTTGGGGTCGTAATTATGGTGTGCCAAGCAGCGAGCCAAACAAGATTCCGGGCATTGAAGTACGAAAATGGTATTGCAGGGAGTGCCACCATTGTAGTTAGAGTTATAGCACGCTTTCAACCTCTTCAGGATTGCCAGGTTTGTTTTTTAATTAGATGTATCTGTCTTTACGAAAGAATTAGATGCCCTTTTGTTGAGTGATGCTTGCTTCTTTTTCTTAACGCATGAGATTCCTTGTTCTTTCTTTTTGCCCCCACTCTATTTTGTCGTTGATGATTTGTTAGGAAACTTGTGCAAAGCCAATATTGAGGTTCTTTTCTTTTCTTTTCTTGCTTTTTTTTTGCAGGCTGAATATTTTCGTCATTTGCTTAAGCCTGTTACGTAGATTAGTTTTGTATTTGCACGACCAAGTTAAGGTGGAGCTTTTGTTTTGTTTTTGTTTTCTCCCTTGTTTTTGAGAGCAACTTCAAGTTAACTACTATTTCTGCTGCTATACAACACTCAACTTTTGGTATGTATTGCTACCACTTTATTTTTATGAATACCTTCTTTCTATTCTTTGGGATATTGTGTGTGTGTGTTTTTCCCTCTCCAGTTAACTCGGTTGTTTTCGTAGGTGATTGTTCCGGTAAGATGGGAGAAGGTTGTCGATCCTGGTTTCCTCAGCGGCAATTCAATCCGCAATCACCCAACTTGAATTCCTTGGCTGCTCCACATCCTTTGGTTCAGCAAAGTACTAATCCTCAATTCATAAACACTGGCAGTATTATGGCCTCAATTGCCGGAACTCTGCCAGATTATGCAAATCCTGAAATACCTTACTTGCAGGTTGGCCAAGTTAAGGAACCTCGTGGTTGGTTTGACTGTTTACCCCGCTTCCAGCAGGGCTTGTCACATGCATCTGTCTTGAATGCCTCTTTGAGATTGCAATTTCCAGCTAACCCGTATGAGAATCTTGCTGAAAAAATCATTTCTAACGAGGAGTCTGACTATGCTCAGAAGAGATTCCTTGTTTTTGATCAATCTGGTGATCAAACTACTTTGATCTTTAGTTCTGCTATTGGGACTCCTATCAAGGGCACCTCTGGGGGTCTAAAATCTCCTGTTGGTTGGAAATTTAATGACAAGGATCCTATAACGAAAGTAAACCCAAATCTTTACTCTGAACCAGTATCCACCAACATGTTTGATGAGAATGGGACTGATGCAAAAAGTGAAATGCACGAGGATACTGAAGAATTGAATGCCTTGCTGTACTCGGATGATGATATTTATTTTACTGATGTTGAAGTTACGAGTTTAGTTCATTCTCCTAGTACAATGACAGTTCGTGATGAGCAGTTTGAGGGAGGAACTGAAAAGGTTGATAGTTCTTCTGGATTAACTAAAAGGCGGAAACTGCTTGATGGGAGTAATGATTCGGTGCCATTGGTTATGGACACTACCAGTTCAGTGAATCCCAACAGATGTTCCAACTCTGAGTATGTGGATGATGCTGATCCCAGCTGTGCCAATCGCCAAAATCCAGTATTTGGTGGTCCAGAATCATCTTCAGGCAATAAGAGAACGAGATTGGTGGATAAAATTCCTGAGACTCTGCCGTTGCTCATGGACACAGCCATTTCGGTGAATCCTAACAGATGTTCTGAATATGAGGATGATGCAGATTCTAGCTGCGTCAATGACCAAAATCCCGTATCTGGTGATGCAAATTCATCTACAGGCTACAAGAGAATGAGAATAGATAAGATTCGCATGACTGTTGGTGTTTTACGAAGCTTAATTCCAAGTGGGGAGGGCAAAGATGCAATTATGGTTCTTGACGAAACCATTGATTACTTGAAATCCCTTAAACTCAAAGCCAAAGCCTTTGGACTTAATACTCTATAATGTTGCCACTGTTTTTATTGCTTGTGTTAGTGGTAGGATCTGTCATTATCATTCAGTTGGCATGGATTTGCATGTGTTGCATATAATTTAGTGTCTTCCATGAGAACATAGTGGACAGATAACTTGGAATAATCTTCTCAAGTCTGTGTTCAATAATGTAAGTCAGATTTGGCCTTGACATCTTTCTATAGAAAGAAGGGATATTGCAGTATATTTATGTCCCAATAAAGGGATGTTAATCATTAGTCTTCATCTTTGGTTTAGAAAGTAATGCTCTCAGGCTAGCGAATGATGGTTTGGCAGTGTGAATGAGAAGACTGGTTAGTCTTGGAGGGACCCTCTTAAAAGGTGGCTAAGTGCACGCCTCTTAGGTGGTGTTTTGTGTCCCAATCTTCACTTTCTTCTTCTCCTTGCGGGTTCCCTTTTCCAATGATGTTCATCTTCAAGGGTGGCCCCCATATTCCCCCCAACGGCATGTATAATACAAAGATTGTGATGCATATGCTTTGCTTTGTTACGGTCTTTACGTATTACTTGTAGTATATGATTGTGTGGAAGACTTTTTTGATGCGCATGGCTTATTGCTTGTGGGACTTGTGATTTGTAGTGGTTTGATGGGTTAATCAATGATGTTATGATTCATGGGTGGAATGCAATATTTTTATATATTATTTTGTTGAGTGTTTGTGCTCTGTCTCCACGAGTGCCCCCACACTTGTTCGCATGCACGCGTTTGTGAATGAGACAGCGATGTCTTAATCTTTTACATATAGCTCCTGAAATTGGTGCAAATTTTTCGACTTTCTACGCAGATTGATGGTTTCAGTGATGGGACTGCAAAAAGTTAGCACTGCTTTCATCACTTATGAAATGACTTTAATATTATGTTGTTTTTATATTTATTTTCGTGTTAAAAAATTATTGTTGGTTTTAGAAATTCGAGTATTAATAATTGTAAAGTGTGATTTATCATTTACTCAAATGGTTGAATGTATTTAAAATATATATTATTTAATAATCATATTTACTTTTGTAAAAAAAATAATAGAAACTTTTACATAAAGTATATGCAAATAAAATTTTAACACTATTAATAAAAATAAATAAATAACATAAAAAATTAGATTTTAAGGTAGACAAGTACACGTAGATTTGCTACTCTTGACACTTGGTTACCCTTTAGTCATTGCTAATTTTTTTAATTGAAAGGACTAAGCAAAAGCATGTACTCACAGTAGAGACCAGAAATGTTCCGATGGAGTAGGTCATGAAAGATTATGGGTGTAAATAGATAATCGAGTTTGATCAATTAAGGTTATATTTGTGTTTGTTAGTTTTGTTTTTGACTGAGTTCATGTTTGATTTATGTCCATTTAAATTATAAGTATCGTGTTTATGTTCGTTTATTTATTTTTAAAGATGTTTGTGTTCGTTGTTCGCGTATGTGTTCGTTTAATGTTTGCGTATGTGTTCGTTTAATGTTCGTGAACGTGTTTAATTATATGTTCTTGGACGTGTTCATTTAACGTTCACTAACATGTTCGTTTAACTTACGTTTAGTGTTTTTTTATCATTAGTTTATAAGTTCAATATTTAGTTATACCCTTTCATTTGCAAGTAAAAAAATGGTAAAATTATGTCAATAGTGCTTAAACTTTGTCAAATTCAGTGTTATTAAAACCGGACCGGTCGGTTTGACCGGTTGAACCGGGAACCAGTTGCCTATCCGGTCCGGTCACCCTATAAAACCAGTTTTACAAAGAACCAACCGGTAGAACCGGTCAAGAACCGGCAAAACCGGTGTGAACTGGCCGGTTCACTGGTTCTGTTTTTTTAAAAATTAAACCAAACGACGTCGTTTGTTATGATTTTTTTCAACCCCAAATTAATTTTCTGATTATGATGATTGATACTTGTATCAATTATATACTTTTTTTTATTTAGTTGTTGATGAATTTCATTAGATATTGACCTTAAATATTATGTTGTAGTTTATTTGAATCATTTTGTTTCACTTGATTTTATGGTATTTAACTTATATATGTTATAACTTGTGATATTTTTATGCCTTTTAATATTATGAACTTAAAAAGAGTGTTATATATATTAATATTACTTTTAATATTATGTAAATTTTTTTTTAAAAAATATTATTTTATATAAACCGGTTCAACCACGATTGAACCAGTGAACCAGTACCTTCATCGGTTTAAGATTTGGTCCGGTTTTAAAAACATTGGTCAAATTCACCATTTAAGTTTTAACTTTACTATGTGTTTAATTTAATTTCTACATTCACCAATATTTAAAATGTAAAATAAAAAAGGAAAAAAAGAGAACAGGGTAAACAAGCTTGTTCATAAGCATAAATGAACGAGTCGATAAATGAACTCATAAATGAGCCTATAAACAAGCTTGTTCATGAATATAAACACATCAACACATTTGTCTGTGCTCATTCGTTTATTAAATGAATATAAAATATTTTGTTCATGCTATTTTATTTAGCTTAACAAACAAACGTTATACGAATGGTTCACGAACAATTCACTGAATACTCTGTTCATTTACACCCCTATGAAAGATCAATAGTGGTTGTAGAAACTCATTTTCGTCCGGGGCCTATTTAGTATATATATTAATATAGTATAGTTTTTTAAAACATTTTGAAAACATATATATAATATATAGTTTTTGAAAACATTTTGAAAATATATATATTATATAGTTTTGAAAAACAATTTTTGAAAACATATATATTATATAGTTTCGAAAATAATTTTTGAACGCATATATCATATATAGTTTTAAAAATGATTTTTTGAAAACATATTAATTTTAGTTTTTATAATATATTATTTAATTATTAATTATTTTATTAATTAATTTTTTCTCGATTTTTGTTTTTCAGGTCCAATAAGTCCAAAGTTCCAAAGTTCGGGTACAAAAAGGAAGCCCAACCGAGCTTGCAAGCCTGACCCAGCAAGCAGACCCGGTGGGAGGCCCAACATGCAAAGAAAGGTCCACTAGGGTTTCGTCCTTAAGTCAAGCGTCGCACAAGAGGAAGTAAGCAGCGCGCGTAGAGCCCACGCGCCAACAAGTTGGCCGAAACGTTCGGCCGAACACCCGTGACTGAACCATCCCGGGATATTCGGCCCAACGGCAACCTCAACAGAACGTGAACAAGTCGGGGATGACCCCGAGATCATCGAGACCCAAACGACCGATTGAAGGCTATAAAAGCCTCGTCGAGACTAGCAACAAGACTACAACAACCATCACAATACCAAGAAACGAAACAACATATAGTAACATCGAGCAAAAGAAAAACAAAAAACCGCCAAACACAAGCAACAATCGGCCAAAACCGAAAGCAACCAAACCAAAAACATCGAAAAAACAAAACCATAAACTTTCAAAACCGAAACCAAAAGGCAAGGCTTTGCCTCATCAAGGGTCGGCAGGAACGCGTGAGAGCGTCGTCGGAGAGGAAGAAACCGTTGGAAGTTAGAAAGTACGCTGGAAAAGGTAAAAAACCGAATGAACTTTTTTAGATCTATGCCGATTTGGGGGGATTTGGGCTTTGGTTTTTGATTCTCGGGGTTGAGGGCTTTCGAAAGGGGTAAGCCTTTAGGTTTCCGGCCACTGGAGACGGCGGCCAGAACGGCGGACCGGGCGGCGGTTTGGCACCGGTGGGTGGCCAGTCTTCTACCGGCCAAAGCATGAGTTGAGAGGTTTTTTTGAGAGGGGAGAGATTTTCTTGGGGGTTAAGGTTAAAATAATTTTTTTGGGTTTTTGGGTATTTATAACGAGGGACTAAAGTGAAAATATCAGACTTTTAAATTATTTCCGCATTCTCTGTAAGTTTAAAGTGTAATTCATTTTTGGTCACCTATTGTAAATTTACCCTTGAATTTCGAATTTATTCAATTTAATCCCTATTTACATTTATTATATTTTTCAAATTGGTCCCCTAACCTTTTATTTTTCTCTTGCAACTTATTTTTAGCATCAATTTAATCCATGAATTTCAATTTATTCAAATTTAGACCTTTAAGTTTATTATTTTATTTTTTCTACTTTTTCTTTTTATTCTGTTATTTTTTTCTTACTTTCAAAATTTAACATTTCTTTCTTTTATTTTTTTTCTTATTTTTAAAAATTAACATTTTTTCACTCTTTTTATTATTTATTTATTTCCTTTAAAATTTAATTTTTATTCATTTTTTATTTAGTTATTTTTATTCTATTATTCTTTCTTTTAACTTGATTTTATTCTTTTTAAAACCCTTTTATTTATTTATTTTACAATCTAACATCTTTTTGACTTTTTAAGGGAATTTTAGTCGATCAAATGTAAGTAATTCAAATCGAGTCTTTAAAATTTAATTTTAATTTTCGTTATTAAAACAACTGAGAAATTAAAATGGTACCGAAAGGGCAGTTTAAGGATGCTAATCCTTCCTTGACTGTAACCGACTCCCGAATCCGACACATTTATGGTAAAACGAAGATCAGGTAAGATGGTGTTCGATCAACCAAATTTTTTTTACGAAAAAAATAAATGATCGGTGGCGACTTTACCGTGATTTATTTAAGTCGAAACCCAATTTCAGGTCCACCCAAAAGACGGTTGCGACAATGGTGAATCAAAGAACAAAATAGGATCAACAGCCAGACACAGACGTAAAATCTTATTCTAGGGGACGAACTCTAAAATTTTAAGAGGGCTATAGGGGAAAAATATTATCAGTTGAAAATATATACTAATTTTAAATTTTCAAGGAGAAAATTGCCTCTACTCGTCCCTCCTTCGATCCTTCCCTGTCGACCGTGGTGAATCAAAGAACAAAATCTGGGAAGCATTTGGGTCAGCCATCTTGGTAAACTTGTCTGAAACCATGTTACAGAGCTTTGCGGCAACAGAGCTGTCAGTTTGGACTTAAAATAATTCTATACACATGGTCCAGACAATCTTCAAATTTCCAATAGACTCCAGAGTTCCGCCTGCAATGCGATAATAATGCCTACAGATTTACTACAATTTAACTTCGGAAAT